AACAGATATAAACAGTCAATTCAGCCACTGCATCTTACAGCGGTATGTTAAGGGAAAGCATCATTAATTTTAAGTCATGCTAATATTAAAAAGTACAAGGTGTCACAGCCAGGGAGTAATTACCATCTCATACATCTATCCTTGTAAGGGATATAGTGCACACATCAGAGGAGCAGGCAGATAGCCGCGAGTGGCAACCATTTCAACCACTACCACTAAATTCACTTGTACTTATGAGTCAATCTCCATATACTTCTGGTGACACATGCATAAATAGTTATTGCTTGGTTTTAATATTCTTGTGCAATTAGGAGAGTCATGCATGAAATCTTTTAAACCACATCAAGCTAACACAACTCATTTTGGAATAAGCATTCAAATGAATGCTATTAGGCAGAAAGTGGGGCATGCTCATATCCTGCAAGTTCAGAGGAAGCTCAAGTAACAAATGAAAAACTGTTTCTTTCAATGTCACATTAGGAGTACACCAAGAACGGCCATACTAAGCAGTATGAGAACTGACAGAAGGCCTTTGTCAAAAAAAGTGTTATCTTTTTTTTCCCCTTCTCCCGTTTTTAGAATGCCAATTTCACATTAGTTTGACCTCCTCCTCAAAAGGCCTCATTTTACAGTACCAATTCTTCTTTCACTTAAAGCAGTGTATTAGCTGAGAAAAAAAATCCTTGGTGCTATAGGGCAAGCCTGAAAGCCCATTATAGAAAAGGTCTGATATGGGGAGGTTAAGAGGGGTATGTCTGTGTGCCTGTGTTTTGCAATGCATTAGACAGTCCATGTAAGATTTTTTGTTTTCTTCTTGGTGGGGAAGAAAGTGTGTAGTCAAAAAGCAAGAAACTGATGGGTTTAAAACAGATTAACAGGGTAACTGTATCCCCTTCTCTCAGGTTTGGGTTTTTTTTTTTGTTTTGTTTTTCAATTCTCAAATTCTTAACTTATGTAACTGACATCAGTAAGGAAATGAAGGATAATTGTTACGAAGTATTTTGTATATCTTAATACCGCACTATTGCAGCTGCGTGTTACAGCAATTGCAAGATAAACCAAAAATGAGACAGGAAAGCATAACTAACATCAAAACAAGCCAGAAAAAGAGCTCAAGGAAAGGAACGTTCCACTAGAGCCTGATCTTTCTTGTTCCACATCTAACTGTGCCTGTTCACAAACAAAACAAACCAGCAAGGCTTGGGGCCACTACTGTATGCCTGATGTTTATGCAGTCAACCAGTTCCATGGCACTGGGGGTGCTTGGAATGTTTAAATTTAAATGAACGCTGAAGCTTTTTAATTATTCTCGAAACACTAGTTTCATTACTTTGATGTGTGTGGAGTAACCATTCCAGCTTGTACTAGAAATTCTTGTCTCAAAATACACCCACAACATGAGCTAGTCTCCCGCCAGACAGTGCAAGTAGAATGCTGCTTTTTGTCTTACCAAATAAATTCATCTATTGAGGAGGAAAGTCAATAAAGACCAGTCCTTCATAGTAAGGTATGCAAGGCAAATACAGTAGTGGTCTAAATTAGGTAGCCAGCTGATTAGTATGACTACAAATACAAGAAAAAGAAGAGCACAAGTACCACGCAGTGATAAGTAAGAAATATCCCAGCAGGGGTTCTAAAAGAAGGCCTCACTGCATCTTCTGCAGCAGCAGCTAGAAGCATAGAAAGGCTGCTAGTGATTTCATGGTGCCAGAGCTGCTGTTCTCAGCTTCCTGGTCATGCTCTAGGCTGCTCCCTTCACAGGGCAATGCTGCTATCGTCAAGGATACAAGCTTACAGTCAGGCAGGGCTTACAGTCTCGGAGAGAGGTGCCTGTGACTAGTTACAAATCATCCGTCGATAAATTTTGGTTCAGTGACCTAAGAAAGATTGCAGGGAAATAAAAACTAATTCTAGCTTCTACAGAGTTAGAGTATTAATAAAGGGCAACCACTGCACATAATTTCAAGGGTTTACTTAAGGGGAGAAAAAAAAAAATAAAAAAAAAATCAGCACACCAAACAGCAAGGAAAATGGACACACTGGTATTTTATTTTCCATGATAGCAAGACTAAAAATATTAGCACCACTAAACTTGACTAAGTTTACTCTTTCATGTAATTTACATGAACTCCAACACTTCTATTTCAATGGTAGAACTTGAAATATTTTGACAGAAAAAAGGTACAGTTCATGTGGGGGGTTTGAGTGTTGTTTATGTTTGGGGGTTTATTGTTGTTGTTGGTTGGTCATGGGGTTTTTGGGTGGTTTGTTTTATGTTTGTTTGGCTTTTTAAGAAGTAGGTGGAAGATCAGAGATGCTTCTGTCATTAATCATTCTTTTAAAAACCACAGTTATGCAGTCTATGCCTTTGTCCTTCCATAGGAGAAGTCTATACAGAGGAGGTTTTTTGCACAAAGGGGTATAAAGATAACTTTAATTTCAAAACCAGGAAAATTTCTCATTTTTTAATGCTAATGAGCATGTCATTATTCAAATTCGCTCCAAAACTAAGTCAGTACAGCACTTACAAAATTAGCTAAGGAATTACCTATAAATATTTTCTTCATTCACCTAATAGAAAACTGGAAGTGAAAATAAAAGTTAACACCTAAATCAATTTCTAAAAAAGCATTTTACCTTCAAGGGCAGTGAAATGAAGAAGTGAAATTGTTTAATTGATTCCCCCCCCTCCCTTAGTTTAATGATAAAAGGCAGATAAACAGCAAGATATAAGCGCCTTAGATAATACAATCTTCTGAACTGATATGCCATTTATACAGAGCACTTCCCAGGCAAGATAAATTGGACCCATTCATTATGTTTAATTGGTGCAAACTACTAGCGTAGACATTTACACCATCTTAAGTTAAAAGAATTCAAGGGAGATTTAACAGTGAAAGCTGTCTTAGAAAACACATTGGTTTTTCTTAAGCCAAAGCAATCAATGTCAAACCACTGCTCTCATTACAGCTAAGCACAAGTTTAACTAAATCCAACAACAATTTCTCAATATAAACGAAAGCATTAATGTTTCTATGATTGCATGAAATGTACACCTACTAAACATGCCAATTATAACACCGAAAGATTCACTAAAAGCATGTAAACCCGAAAATATTCTTTGAGCTTTGTAAAAATAATTAAAATAATTCTTAAATAATTATTTAAAGGATGTTTGTAGCTTGTTTTCCTCTAATAGCCTGAAAAAAATAGCTTATTTTGAAAACCAACTAATTCAGTACTCAAGTGTCCAAGGCACATTAAAAAAAAAAAAAAAAGAAAATTATTATTACCTGATATGCAATAAAGGTCCTTTAAAAGTGGTTAATGCTTTCTTTGCATTTTTTGGTTTGATTTCTGTTTTGTCAGTTTCCTCTGATTTGGAAATTTGTTCTACAGAATTCATCTAAGTAAAAATGACAGTTATACTGATTAGCTAGAAACCTGGGCTATACAGGTTACAGAATCATGCAGGTATTTCAAAGAATATGATGAGGCTTATTTCAAAAATTTATATATTGCAGACGAAGCTTAATATGTATTCATTCCCTGAAGCTGCTTGAAGTCCACTGAAAAAATAATTTGTCAGAGAAGTTATATAATGCATTAAACATGCATGAAACAAAACTACAATTTTTGTTTTCCATGTATTTTCCTGATACTCAAGTTGGTTATTTTTGAGAACTCCAGACGCGTTAAATTACTAGTACTTCAAATATTTAGGATTACAAAGCACAGATGATGTTATTCCACCGGAAAACTTTTCAACTGAAGCAGACACCCCTGTACAATCACTGCAACACTGAACAGAAAACACAGTAACAGTTGCAGACTTTACTGCATTGCAGAATTGCTAAATGTATTTTCACAGCTTTTAGGTAGAATTCTGAAGTATTGAAGAATTTAAAAGAAATAATGCTGATTGAATTGGTGCATCCAAAATTGCAGACACTTACATTCTGAGATTTTTCCTCTTTTACATTAAGAAAATACATGTCAGCAGGCCTGGACATCTTATGAAAAAAATGAAAGAAGTCTGCAATTAAGTGCAACAGGGCCAGGAAGAAATAAATACAGGAGACTGAAAAAATTAGTGACATCACAACTCAAAATGAGCTAGCTGAACAGTTTGCTTAGCTTTGGTTTTATTGCGCTTAAAATACAAAGACAAGACATGAAGAGAATTCCATTTATGTAAATTAGAAGTATGAGAATGAAAGGAACACAAAATTTTATAGAAAATAGATTTTTATAAAAAGAAACCACTTGGCAATTTGATTTCCTTTTATATATATATACATAAAATTACAGTTATAGTAAAAGGTTAGTGTAACTAACACATACCTGCACTAGTTATGTGTTGGGTTTAATTCTATATAAATCTAATTAAAATTACCAGAGAAAATATTCCTATAGCTGCCAGCACATTAAAGTTGGAGGCATTACAGGACAAGCACTTATTAGTGAAGTTTATGACTCATGTCTCTCTCTACTCTGTGGAAAGAAATAGGCCCTTCTGCGGGATATGGGGAGGCACATATATATGCGTACATGCACACACAAATGTATATTTATATACATGTATCTATAGATACATCTAAAATAAAACAGATGAATTCTCAGTGATGACAAGAGTCTGCATATAAAGATTGGTAGTGCAGTACATAATGATGACAATGACATCTTGCAGATCACTTTAAATCCATTAGTTTGGAAGCTGGCCTTGTTAAACAATATTTGAATACTTATATTTAGACACAGTCAAGCAAAAAAAAAATTAACTAAGAAAAAAGAAATGCCAGCCATTCCGAGACAGTAAGGGAGTACTTCTGAAAAACACATTTTGGGAAAGAACAAAACATTGAAGTGGCCAACAAAGGCATACTTGCTGTGGAAGAAACAGCAAGTATTATTCTTAAATATGTGACTAGAAGAATAGTGAGTTGAACCAAAACAATAATCCATTTCTTACAGAAACAGTACCAACAGAGAAATACGGTCTGAAATTTTAAATTTAAGTAATTTAATTCTAAATTTAATTAAAAAATAATAATAAAAAATAAGACAGGGCCTTAAGTGTGCCTCATGATTGCTACACGATGAGCATAAACGTCAATCTTAGTTCCTTGAAAAGATTAGCAGTTTGATTACACTGTATAAAAAAGAAAACACCATAAGCTAAATCAGATAGGTTTTTCACCTTTTTCACTCTTAAAAATAGTTATGTAGAAAGCTGAAGTCAGCCAAGCAAAATTAAAACAAACACATACTGAGGTTATTAAGCACCAAAGCCAACTCACACACCGAAGAGGAATTCTCCACATTTCTGTATCTTAAGAATCTGAGCTTGGAAGATGTGCTACAACTGAAACAAGCTACTGAGTCTAAATGGTCATGAAGTTGCTGTGGTTATGCAATGCATGAAGTATTCTACTCCATTAAACAGAAGTTTTGCAATGCATATTCCAAAATTAATTATGGCACTAAAGTAGTGTATTTCAGATTTTTTCCTACTATTTTCAAGAGTGATATCCCCACTGACTATGATTACATAGTTCTAAATGGCACTTCATAAGGACTAGTGTAAAATAATGCCTTTATATTTCTGGATAAACACCACTGCAGGAAGATTATGTTGTAAAACGGAACTGATGGATTGGGGACACAATTTCTCCTGAGACTAAATGAAAATTTTTATATGTTGAGGTTTTATCAATAATTTAAGAAAACAAATTAATATCCAGTATAGTATAAATATTTAAACTGTTAATATTCCCATGTACATACTGACTTCAACTTCTAAGAAAACTAGATGTATTTTAAGATTTACCACTAGATAACCCAAGATTAAAAATAAATCTATTAGAAAGACACAAGCTTTGAAAACAAATCACAGAAAACTTTTAAATTTTACTGTATAATTTACTGTATTCCAGAGATACACTAAATACTTGGTATACATTTTGCTCAGTCAGAAGTATGAAACTGGTCTTAAAAGAAAACAAGCAAGGTTGAAAGTGCAAAGAATAATCTTCAGTTTTACTGGATTCTTTTGTCAAACTGAAGAGCAGAAAAAAAAAGAACTTCAGAAAAAAATTCAACACACAAAGTAAAAGCCAGACAAGAAACAAAATCTATGTGCCTCCTGTCCCACTTTGTAACCATTTAACTAAGCTTGCCTCAACCTTCAGTTAGATACCTTTTTCTGATTAAGGTTTTGTGTTTCATTCAGCTCCCCAGTCTCCTTGGTGTCAGCATCTATTTCTTCTTTACTTTCATGCTCATCTTCACTAGTAATGGGCCCATTTTCACATAAAGGAGTTTGAAAATCATCATCAACCAATGGAGGATAACTGTACTTGAAAGAATCCTAAAACATAAGGAGATTTTTAAAGGACCAGTTATTCGGGAGGATAAGAAGTACCTTCTCCAGTATTTTTTAAAAGGAAATATTGTATTTTTTTCTTCTTTTCTTCACATGACTTGTATGTTTCATTTACCTATTCTAAGTTGGACCCCTGTGTAGAAAAGTGACACTACCAGTAGTTTTTATTTTGTCATCATTAATACACAAATAAATAGTCACCTAATGTAGCTGCTAAATTTTAGCCACTGTTGTTATTTATAGTCGCAGCACAACTGTAGAATCTGGTCTATCAAGGATCAGCATTCAGAGTCTTAATGCCCAAGTTTCTTTTTAGTTGTAAGAAAGATGGTTTAAGACAGCCATTTCTAAAGAAGGTTCCAAAAGTGATAAAAAACAAAAGAGAAAAAACAAACCCCCAAACCACAAAACAACCCCAAATAATCCCTCCAGTTTAACCTAGTGTTTGGACCCTTAACATATCTTGTAAGCCAGACCTCAGTCTTTGGAATACCACATCAATTTAAAGAACATATTCAAGACACCTGAGTAATGCAGAAGCAGCATACTTTAAGTTCTCAGTGCTCCTACAGTAAAGATATCTTTTCCACTGGAAGACCAGTAAACAAACAGGTTTTTGCCAACTAGAAATTCTCCTAACGGTCTCCAAATAGTTTCATTACATCTAATGTTGGAAACTGTTTAAGCAGGGATCTCCATTCCTACTGCATTTTCAAGCAGTTTTTAACCCCAGGTAAACTGAATTTTTCTGTCAGCTTTTCCCGTGAAAGAGGAAAATAACATAGCTTTGACTTGTGTGAGGCAGACTTCAGACATGTCCACAGTTCCCAAGCTATGCTACCAGAAGGGAGTTAAAAAAAGTTGTTTCAAGAGAGGTCTCCACAAGCAAGTGTGTTTTTCTCAAAACAAACAATAATGTGATGTTAGGAAAAAGGGAAAAACCTTATATGGGAAACCTGTTAATGCTCTTAAAAGATGTGTAACATGGAACCAACTTGGTCAACAATCCACTAACTGGCAATGAGACCAAGGCAAGATAAAGAATAACTCTTAAGACTGTATACTCAGCTAGGCACTTCAGGAGGATATGTAGCAAAGCCACAAGTTCTTTCTTTAAAGACGTAATTACCTATTAGGCAAGCTGGCCTAAAAAGCAGACAGGAAATACTCAGCTCTAAGAAGGAAGAAAAGAACTTTCCCCTCTGTTGCAACAGCAGTACAATACTGTTGGAGCTAGTCCCAGCATCACTACTATACCCCATTCAAATCCTTACTGAAGCCACTTCGGCCATCATCAGCCCTTTCTTCAATTCCCACTCCTGAAGTTCAGCAATTTCAGCTTTCTTTAACATGAGAAAGTTCTTATATGAGACTGGAGAGTTTGGGCAACAATTTTCCATGGAGAAAGAGGGTATCTCTTCTTCAAGAGTCTCATGCAAAAGCACTTTTCAAAGGCTGCTTCTTTCAGTAGTAACTTACGTACTTAAGATAACTTAGTCCTTTATGTTCTCAAAACAAGTTTCATGTTCTGGCTACCCTGAGTTTATATACAAATGAACATGGCCTCACCTGTTACTGTTATTCTATTCTGATGCTCCCTATTCTATTATGATGATGATGTGATTTACCAGCTTTGTGAAAAGTTAAACCTGATGTACAAGATGCTTGTGCTGTTTTGCTATTTAGATTACACTAGAATAGGATCCAGGTTCTAATAGTGTGATACTGAATTGTGGCATAGTCTTTGGAGCTCTATTATACCCTTTAAAAAGAATCTTCTACAGCCATGTCTTAAAATGCAGCCCTAGAGACAGCAAAGACAAAATAATAGCAACATAATTGTCTTTAATGAATAGCAGCTTTGGAGCAGGATGAAAACTGAGGGCCATGAAGCCTATTTTCTGTTCACAGAACTTATTAAGCAACACAATCTCAAACTCATCAGGTGGAAGGAAAAAGAAAAAGGAATAGGAGGAAGAATGACATTTAAAACGGATTTTTTTCTTTTTAATTCTGAAAAGCTAAGTGGGTAAGTGATTCAGAAAAGTTATTTCTATATTTAGGACTGCCAGATACAAAATTCTTATGAAATTAATCTATTTTATATTAATATGATTTTCAAATTATCATTGGCAGAACAACTTTAAGAAATTTCACATCCATGAAGTGCCAACTCTCAACCCCACATATGTAATTTTTATAGGTATCTTAATGTATCACAAAAGGACCATGAAATGTTAATATACTTACAGTTCCACCCATGTGAGGTGGCAGATACTCTCCACTAATGTATTCCTGTACATCACTCTTGTTTGTGAACTTTAACATGCTTATTGCATCTGGGCCAAGCCAACCCTTCACAATTTTAAAAGCAGCTTTAAAAAACAAACAAACAAGCAAAAAGGTACACATGAGTAGTCAGGAAGGTTTGTTTTTTTTTCCCCAGTGCATTACTGGAAAAATCACTTACAGAACACAAGTGAGCTACATCCCATAACTTATGGCAGAACCTGCTGTGAAAATATCTTATTATAATAGGGACAAACAGTGCAAGGAAAAGAGTATTATTTATGGAGAAAATACTTTATGGACATATACTTTTCCATAGATGAATGCAGGCAGATCACAGGCTCTCACAGAAGGAATATCTGAGTTAATAAGTTGTCTTGGAATTTACCCCAGGAAGTACTGAGGGAGTAAAACCAAATGTATTTCCAAATCTGAGTGACAAGAGGTTGAGAAAGATATGTATACACTCTACTTTGTGGAAATGTTTTGCTGCTTTAAAGAACAATTGTTTATATCTACAGAGGATTTTCAAACACCATAGTTATTTCAGTGATGGCAAAACATGAATATACAGAAATATATAAAGCCAGCACAAAAATATGCATTCATATAGTAAAAATACAGAAATAACATCTATCATGTACATTATAACTAAAGATAATTATTGAAGTATACACATCAAAACATATATAACAGTATCTGTATCCTGCCTCAGGCATCTATCTTAAATTGTGTATTCTACTTTTTGGCTTGTTACAAGTGTTCATCATTTGTTGATGACAGTATTTCTAGATCATGAACAGATCTAGCTTTGAAAGGAAACAGTTTGAAACATTCAAGGAATAGACTAAATACCAAGATTTCCCAAGCTTTAAAGATAACAGGTTGAATAAAGACTCCATTTAAAGTATGATGCCAAATACAACACTAGAAGGAAAACCAAAAAACATATGCAATCCACTAACTGAAAAATTTAAAGATGCGTATTTAACAATTCCCATCATTTGGCTGTATCCACACAGAGCGGAAAAGTGCTTCCTATCTATGCAATAGCATAACAAAAAAAAAAAATCATCAGCATCTAAAAAATAAAACCCCCAAAACCAAACAACTCACCATTCATTATCCATGGCATTTCAAAGATCACTATCTTTGCTGGAAAGACAAAAAGAAGAGGAAATAGTCTTGAATGCCAAGTGTTATTTATTTCTCCATTTAAGACAAAGCACAGCAATAATGGTCATGTAAAAAGTGTATACTCATTTTTGGAAACTTCCATGTTCACCTCCCAGTAGAAGCAATTTTATACAACTGTATAAACCTATTTCTATTATTGCATAAAAACACTTTCCAAGGAAACAAGCTAACACTTAATAAAATTCTAAGTTATACACTTCTCTGGGATATCACTTTTCTGACATACTGTTACTTATAATTAACCTTCCCAAATAAGGCAGAGAACAGTAGGATTCAACCTGCCTTTGAAAAACAGCTATCGAACGGAAAAGGAAGTTCGACACGTATAGTCAGCACCTCCTCTTCCTAAAGAAACAAATAGCAAGAGTCTTGGTAAATCTACATTTTTCCCAAGCTTTCTTTTTTTTTTTAGTAGAAGTCTGAAAAGTTCTTTGACTCTTAAGTGTCCCAAAATTTCTCCTGAATGTCAAAACAACATGATGTTGCACTTGTCTTTAAGTTTGACATTTGATTAAAGTTTTGAACTTTGATCAGCAAGGTGAAATCTACTATTCAGACTTTAAGCAGCTGCTATACAGATTTTCAATAGCAAAAGCTATTTGGTGTTTGCCTATCCATTAAAAAAAAAAAAAACAACAACAAAAAACTAGCAGGCAAGTATGCAGGTTTTTCCAAGCGCACACACACAATCTTGCCTAATTCCTGTCAAGAGTAAACCATTGCTCCCTAAAATTTTCCACAGCCATTCATTCTTTGTTCCCTGAAGACTCGCAAAGGATACAAACTGTCATGCAAGTTTGCAAAGCTTCTAACCAAGTAATAAGTAGCAAAGGAAAAACAAGTCAATTCAGTTCTATTAGATTTTTAATCTGTAAAAACATTTCTTAGATTATTACTTCATCAAAAGCCAGTCGATTTTTTATGAATGTAAGCTTATTTACAATACAAAGTCGTTCTGACTCATGAGCACAAAAAAATTCTGAATCTGTGAAGTCTGTGTGTTCTATGTAGTTACCACATAAAGCACATGCAAAAAGATGATCCCCCCAAGACTCAGTTTTCCTCCATCATCTGTGATATTATGAAATGCTATTATTACACAAGTCTCCAGTGCTTAAGAGTTAATATACATTACTTACTGAGAAAGTTTGGGTAATAGTCTGTAAAACAGTTGACAATAAAACGAACAAAATCCAAGTCCTAAAATAAATACAGAGAGTGAATGCAATGTAAATCAGAACATGAAAAATACAGGCTTAGTTAGGCTAAGGCATTTACTGAATAGCACAAAATACTTATCTTGTAATCTATATTCAAACTGTACACATACTACAAACATCATCCTAACTCAATGCAATGCTTTTCACTTCATTAAAATGCTGCCGGATTGTGGTCAAACTTAGCTTTATGATCTAAGAAAGAAGTCAACACACCTATTCTCAATGCAGTAAGGTAGGTATCTAAACTACTGCAATAGTATCAATGGGATTTAAGCTGTACAGGAAGGATAGAGGAAAAAGAAACCTTTAGCACTAGAGAAGCGTAACAGATTATCTCAAAGCCTTATAAAGGAGAGCATTAAACATCTCCCTTCAATAACTTATCTTACATATTGTTCAATATGCTACTGCATATTTTTCAATATACTACTGCATTAATTTGTGGTATGCAGAAAAATTGTGGGCAGAGGCAGCTCTCAAAAAGAGCTGCTTGTATACTACTCATTTTCATCCAATGAGCAGCAGCATGGAAAGAGTACAGCCAAGTCTCCACTGTAAAATCCAGGTATAATAGAACTGACTACACAATAAAGGGCAAAAAGGGAATTTTATGAAACAGATATAAAGAGATGCTTTACCACAATAAGGTACTTTGGTTAGGTGGGAAGCCTGCCATGAGTACTCATAGTTTTCCCAGCCCTTCTAACAGGAGTGACCACTCCTACTACTTTAAGAAATAGTTTCATAAGAAATTCTTCTTTAAAAGAAATATACTGCTGATAGAGGATCCAAAGCCTGTCATAACAGTAAAAAGTGCTATGGGGAACAGACTCCTAAAGTGATGTAAACAGGCTATTACAACATTTGCAGACAGAGAGGAAAAGAAACCACAACACCCTGTATAAGAGGATTACCCACAACCCGAAAGTTTTATTAGTAGCTTCTATAACTGAAAACTAGCTGAAAGTTTATCTTCAGAGGCAGTAGGCAGCCTTAATACAAGTATTTAGCTCAACTGGCTGTTGCTTCTACCAAATACAGTATCTTTCATTTAATAGCATAAAGACAGTGATAGGTTTGCAAGAATTGATTAGAATCTCCTGTGCGTTAAAAAGAATGCTGCTCTTTATTATAATGACTATGCAAAAGCAGCACTAACAGATATTAGGAGGATGGATCCATTATTTTGATCAAGGTCTGGAATTAGAAGTACAGATCTCAGCAGATCATTCAGTAACTACATCTGTTCTTGTTACTTGCACTGGTGCAACAACTCATGAGCTATTAGAATTACCTGGCTGCAGACCAGTGACAAAAGCTGACATAGATGTCAGTAGCAATGGAACAAACACATGAAGCATGCTCTGCAAAAGAACTCAGAAATCCAAGTTCTTTTAGGACAAAATTTTTCAACTCTCTACATGGGTACAAACAGCCATTAAAAATATATTTCTATTCTGTGAGACATGTTTTAACTACACAGCAACACTGTACAATGGAACACTTACGGACAGCACTTGCTGTCTCAGTGTATCTCTGGGAGTCCCAAAGACACTAGAAAAAAGTTGCTCCAAGATCTGCTCCATAAAACCCAAATCAAGTTGCTTTTTCACATCAAGGAAATTATTAAAACCCTCTATTCTTGTTATATAGAAACATGGCTCCTGTATTATCTTTAGGATTGTGGATAGTACAGATAAGAGGACCAATCCTCCCTTGCGAAACTGAATTAAACCATATTTATTTGTCAAAATATCTTCTCAAAAGCTTGTGGGCCTGTACTGCATAGCTGCAAAGTCCATTAACAATCTTGTCTGAAAAAAGCATTTATTATATTTAAACGCATTACCACTACACCAACAAAGAAGGAACAACAAACAAGTTTTAGCCATTCTTGTAAGAATAACACGATAGCATTGCAAGAAATTTTTCAAGATTCTGTGGAAATAAGACTACTTTTTTTAACCTATAGACAATCTGTGAGATTTTTAGTTATTAGATTAAATCTAGAAATATGTCATGATAGGAAAGATCTTCACCTTGCAGTCTAAACCAGCTTAGATTATGCTTTTTAAAGTGGGTGCTAGAACTGTACTTTCCTCCAGCTGAAGAGAATGATAGAAAACTGTAGATTTTCACCTATTTACATTAAAATTACTCAAATGTCACCTCCCACACTGTTCCCCCAAGCTACAACAGGTTCACACAGGGTGCAAGAATGACTGAAGCAAAAGCAAATGCTAAGTGTCCCCGAACACTATGAAATTCCAGAGGTCACGTAAAACCAGATGCTTACATGCTTTGTGAAAGCTTTAGTGAAAATGAAAAGACACTCAACTACTGGTTTTCCAAAGTAAGAACATTCCATGGGGAGGAGTTTGGGGGAAATTTTAACATTTCACAGCAATTTTTTCAGGATCAGTTTATGAAATATTATGGTTGAAGAAACAGTATATAAAGGTTTTGAAAATTCAAAACCCCACAAATCATGTTCTTTAAATCTTTCACTTTTGCACATAGGCACAGGACAGTCCTGAAGACCATCAGTTCAGGAACAGTTCTTAAATGCATTTTTAAGTTTTATGTAACATACATGAACATTTTCTAAATTACAGTAAGCATCTAAGCTTAAATGTTCTCTGAAGGTTACTACAGGCAGGGAATTACCCAGTCCTGTGTATAACTATAATAAATACCTAAGTAATTCCAAATGCAAACTACTGACTTGCCATCTGACTAATTGGTATAGAATTATTTTTTAATACTTATTCCCAAATACCTAGAAAATGGAATTTCAAGTGGGCGGAGCTGCATGCAGGGACTTTAGAAATGAGCACAATTTAAATATATAGGGACAGCATACATAGCATGGAGGACAGAGAGGCAGGACCAGGACAAGAACTGTCAACTGAAGGTGCTGACTTATCAGAACAGACCATCATTCTCAAAAATTTCAGCCACTGCCTCTTTCACCACAATCCCCTTTTTCCATCCTTCACTCCTGAGTGACTGATTCATCCAAAAAAGAGGATGGCAGTGAAAATGGAGCTGTTGAAGAAATGGCAGCAACTGTACTCACAATAAAAGATGGCTCAGCCTACTGCATTTTGGGTACTTAAAACCTAAGTTCTGCTACTGTCACCCATGACAACTGACAAACTGAGCTGGTAAACAGCTACTATATATAGTTACTTTGGGCTAGCTACCAAACTAAGATCAACTTTTCACGGTGCTGCACAAGACTTTAATATCTAGCAAAATATATATATTTTTGAAACTGCTCATCACGGGAAAAAGCCCTACGTATCATTGATGTAAGCAAATTTATGTGTCAAGGACTGCACAAGGACTCCCCTTTTTCTAGAGATAAAGGTTACATAATTCAAAAAGCAATCAGAAAAATACAATAAAAATACTTACTATGTGACTGATACCAGTTTCAGACATATCAAATACCACAGTTAGGGGCTTTCCATGATCTCTCTTGGCATAATGTTCTAACCAGAAAGCTACCAGTTTCTTTTTCTCAAGTTGCTGTTTAGGATCTCTTATATGATGCTTCACTCTGAACCAAACTTGTGAGAAGAAAGAAAAACACACAAAAATTGAAACAACAGATCCATATAAACAGAAAACATTATGCATATATACGAGATGCACTGAAATTTATTTACTCCTTTGAGTCTGTAGTCTACATTTCTACTGATTTTATGGCCACTGAACAGCCAGAGAAAAAAATTGCATATTCCCCCCCCTTTTCCTTGCTCACATTTTAACAACAGAAATTTTAAAAAATTGAAAATACCAAGATATAGCACAAACAGTAGAGTAGAAAGATACTTTTCACTTCTATAAGGATTATAATTTCATCATTTTAAATTAAGTCACATAGTCCTCATATAATATTATGTTCTGCATATATTCTAAGTATTATTGTGGTTGTGAAAGTACACAGCATATTAACTAGATACTGTAAATTCAGAATTTCGAAACAATTTCAAATACAGGACTCTTGTGAAAGTAACCAATAATTCTTAAAAAAATTCTTTATACTTTGAAATGTCTGGTTTACATAACAGAATAAAAATGGAGCATGTGGACTCAAATGTTAACTAACCAGGCACCCTTCACTACAACACAATCTGAATTTGCATACCAAGTCAGATATTCTAACCCAAGTAACATTCATGGAAGAAACATTTCAGAAACGGAAAATTGAGACATTAGCTGTGTTTCAGTGAAAATAAAATCAGAAATCATGTAGGCAGCTTTCACATTCTTGTCATGACATGATTGCATAATTTTCTCAGTCCAACCACTGAAGCAAGGAAGTAATAGTTTTTCCTACTTCTCTTCCCTCCCAATATCACCAAGTGGAACCACCTAGTATAATCACACTCAGCTTTCTAAATGTTACAAAAAGGTATCACTACTACTTATCCTTGAATACCTTGGAAGATAAAAGAAAAATCATGAAACATAACAGAGCAGCAATTTTCATACAGCACTGATAACATAAGAAAAGGGACAGCTTGACACAGAAGATAATATTTTGACATTGGAATAGTTTGACAGAGTCACAGAATAAAAGCTGTATTTTTCTGGGGTTTTTTGGTTTGGTGTTTTTTTTTTTCTTGTTTTTTTTTTTTTTAAGACAATTATATTGCTGCTTAAAGCACAGTCATTTCTGTAGAAGACTAGACTGTTAGAGTATTTCTGGAAGTACAAACTAGCCCATCGAAACCAAGGAAAAGCAGAATTTCAGATTTAAATTTTTGGTCTTTTTCAAGGTTCAAGCTCACTGCTTGGAAAGTCTCAAGAGACACTTGTTTTAAAAGCCTCTTTTCCCTCATAGAATTTAAGCTTAATTAAAAGTAAATATGTAACATTTTATATAAATTAATCTGTTGTCATAATATCGACCATCTATTATATACCATTAAATAAAAATTCGGGAGTATTTCAGGCAATATTTACTGGTTCCCTACAAATCTTATTCTTTAATTATTAGAAATTAATCACACAACTTGAGACTTCAACAATCCTGAGCTGTCCATGCTGCTACTGAACATTCCAATGACATCAGAAAAAAAAAAATGGAAAAAAAAACCAAACCAAAAAACCAAACAAAAAAAAAAACCAAAACCCCACAAAGCCACTACAAGAATGTGAGCTGCTAGAAAAGTGATGACAATGCACTGTAATGAACACTTATACTAGTCATATACTCACAACAGTAGGTACAGAAACCATGTAAAGGAAAGCTGAAGGTTGCATTATAATTAGGATAGTTTTACGATTTTTGAAAACTGCTGATGAAGTTGCCTCATTTCACTTCTGTGATCCAAAGACAGAAGTACTAAAATAAATAGTACTGAATAAATAGTACTAAAAATACTAAAAATTACAAGCTTCTCGTTTTTATTAAAAACTGGTTGCCAGTTTGTACGTACTTCTATTTTTAAAACATTTATTTTTCAGAATAGATGCTAAACTGCTGGAAACAAAAAAATAATGATCAATGACTGAAAATATTATATTCTGTGTAACTTACATAATTTATAGCCCTCTTTATCATATCCATGCAGAAAGAGAGAACCATTTTCAAATAACCATTTTGGAAGGACAGATTCTGTTAAGTCTGCAAAAGCAAATGAAATATTATTTCAGTAACCATATTAATAATTACATTGTAACTTAACAGATGTCACTAAAAATGAAGAAGTCTAGCAATAAAACAAAAAGATATCTTTATAACCCGCTTTCCAAGGCCTTTACTCAACTAATGCAAACACTGAACTCTCTTGAAATCTTTGCTATCTTCTTCCTCTCATGCTGTAGAGTAGGATCTATTCAGGAAGAAGCAAGAATAAAAAAACTGATATAAGAAAAGGTGCTGCAAATGTATATTTTTGCTCATAACTGCAGCTCTAACCTTTAATTCAGCTTGTGAAGTCCTGTAGATAGAGCTCACCTTCAAAACATTGTCACAATATAAAACTCAGATCTATTCTACTTAAGGCACCAGACCAGTGCTACTATAACAACACAACCCTGGTTTCTGTGGGGGTTTTTGTTGTTGTTTGCTTTTTTTAAGGACTCTATTCAGTGCTGGTCAACATGAAAAGCAATAGTTCTAATTCCCATCCCCCACACACCCATCCTCTGGTACTTCCAGAACTTTAAAAGGCTCTTTATGAAACTACATACAGAAGTCAGTTGTCGCTCATTAGAAAAGCGACATACACCATCATTATTTAGCATAGCTTACCATTAACAGTATACTCTTTCCTCCACTGAAAGCTTTCATCAATCATCTTTAATGTGTCATCCACAACATCGTGACGCCAAATCAGATAATTTTCAATCCATTTATCATCTTGCTGAAGTCTTTCCACATCTCTAGAATCGTATTTATCTGATTTATCTAGCAAATAAATCAATTATTGTAAGAATATAGCATCTGCTATGAAAACATGAAAAGGAGATTTGTCAAGTTTCAATATAAGCATCTGCTAGATACATAGATTCTTCTGCAGTCTCAGACTTAAGCAGACAAAGCACAGCATGAGAAATTGGTTAAAAATGTCTGTCTACTGTGATGATACGTAGGAACACTACAAGATTATTCTCACTAGAAAAATATCTTCTGTGATTATTCTTCTTCAAAATAAAAAAACAAACCAGACCATTAGAAAACAAGAAAGTCTGTGAAGGGCAAGCCTAATTTTTCTAAAAAAAAAAAAACCAAAAAAACAAAAAACCCAGGTTTCCATAATTAACATGAAATTAGTATATAGTCTAAGAATCTGTGTACTGATGAAAGTATACACTAAGCATCACTAGTGAAAGCTTGCCTTCTCAAACTTATAGGCATCAGAAAGCCAGACAACAGATGTTAAAATGATTATTTTTGATCACACACTCTACATCACTGCATTAAACAAAATTGTTTTCTTTAACAGGACTACACATTCTGCTCGTGTTAGAAATGTTACTTTATGGAACACAAATTACATGCAACGCTAGAGCAGTACAAAACCCTCAAGGTTCAAACTCTTCTTGTATCAGGTTAGCAACAGGGTGACAGGTTAACATGCTTTGGGAAGTACCTTGGATGAAATAGTACTGCTGCTCTTTACTTTCGTTTTCTTAACTATTTTTTAAACAGAAAAGTTTGTAAAATCAAATGCCTAAGTGGTCCTATTTTTATTGTAGATATCCTTAAACAAAGGCTCAGTTTCTAGAGCAATGCCCCTCTTTGTCTGAGAAATCTGCATAATTGGAATGTAAATCCAGCAGGAGCTCATGATAGAAACAGACTTCTGAAAGCAACAGACACGGGTACAAATCTCCCTGCTAGCTACTAAACCCCCTGTAAACTCTTAGACTATTCGCTTAATATCCTTTGCTATTAGCGTTAAAAAAGCTAAGACTGTTGTTAACAAAACAGACGTTAATTTTAACATACTAGAAAGACTGTTCCTCTATCAGTAGCAATAAACTAAAAATAGCTACTTTCAGGACCACCATCATTTAACTATTTAGAACTGTGACTGAACACTGTAGGGATGTGTATTTCAGACTTCATAACTCCGAGAAAGATGTTAAGAAAAGGACACCATTAAGTTTTACTATTATTTTTAGTTTTAGTGGCTTACATGTAAAGGTATGACCTATTTCACTTTCTTTCTATTTATACTGTTTCCTGGCACAAATTAGCTAATATAACTGTAAGAATACATACAGTTTAAATGCATTCATCCACTAGGAGTTATTATAGTTGCACACCCCCAGTGCATCTCTTCCCATCCAATTGTTTCTCAAATACATTACCTACTTGGTTCCTTCTTCATTAGGTCTCAAATTTCTCCTTCCTTGGATCCCATCTTACTACCTACCTTGTACCTTAGCCAAGCCTACAGTCAAATCCCACTTTCCCTAATCTTAGTCCCCTACTTGCTTCTCTCTGCCCCAAAACCTCCAATCCAATAAAACCTCTCACTATTTCAGCTCCTTTTTCGTAATTTCCATACTTGCACCAGATAGATCATTCCCTGTATTCTGACTAAGCCCATTAAAGTGAACACTCAGCATAAGACCGAAACACTGTTTAACTTTTCTGTGGCTCTAAGTCAACCACAGATGGAACAAGTTGCAAAGACTTTGGGCATTAAATTTTGTAAAATCTCAACTGCTCATTTGAAATTTGATCATTCCCCTTTGATATTTGATTATCCCCCAAATGATATACTATTCGGACAATTTGGCCAGAGAAATGCTAATGGTATCTAGTTTCAGGATAGAATCATAAAAAATTAAAATTGGGAGAGGATTTCTTCAGGTCATATCAGTCCCAACTCCTGCCCACAGCAAAGCTAACTGCCAAATTCAAACAGGTTGCTAAGTACCTTTTTCAGTCAAGTTTCGAAAACACAAAATGGCAAAGAGATTCCACATCCTCCCATCATGTAACATTGTCGTGGTTCAAGATCCTTTTCAAAGATTTTGTTATGTACAGTAACTAACTGGCACATCCAGAGTCAGATAAAGTAAGAGAAGCACTGGCTTCTCTTAGCCATGGTATACTAGCTGTTCTATACTATGTATTATTCAATATGTTATATTTATTATTTGAGCCATATATTGCTACCCATAGCCACAGTAAACTAGGGCTTTGCAAGAACAAAAATTTACTTTAACATCAGTATCCTATGTCTCCAGTGCCTGAGCTACCTTACTCCAACTTGGTTTAATGATCACTAACACACACTAGCTTCCAGCTAAGAGTGACTGCAGTTAATCAACCACCCAAGTATTTTTCTGAGATGAGTCCCATGTATATCCTATTTGTATAAGGGATTTGGGTACCTTGTAATTAAGAAGCTATACACCAGCAGGTAAAAACTAAGAGGACAATATTTCCGGACATTTTCTTTGCTCCTAGTATCTAACTGAGCAGAACTGTCAGAATAACACAATACTATACTACGTATCAAATAATAACTTAAAAACATTTGCACATCATTACATGGAATATGCCTCAGAACACACATACCTGGGCCCCTAACAAATGTTCCCAAACTCTGAACTTTGATAATATTAAAAAATAATAGAAATATAACTTCGTGAATATTTGAAGAAAATGAAAGTGAAAGCTGAATGGAGAAAGCATTTTATCCAAACTTTCAACATCAATGAAAAGCAAGCTGGATCCACAGATAGGAGGAGCTGAAAAAAATTAAAATATTTTTCCCCTATTCAGCAACTAAATTATCAGCAAAATGACACACATAATCTAAATTTACATATATACTATAATATACACTAAACCAGGAACAACTAGTCAAAATCTGCCTCCTAAAAAAAGGTGTTTTATCTCACACATATAAAGCAGAGGGATAGGAAATTGCTGGAGTCCTACCAATAATCCAAGTCTTTGAAAATACGTTAATTCAGAGGAGGAATTCCTCTTCAAAACTGTGCAGTTCCCATCATTCTGTAGGCATCTGGAAACCTTTTTTCAAACAGTGCTGTGAAATAATGTGAATGCTTCTAATTTTAAAATTACTTATGGACCATTTGACTGCAGTTACTGGATTATTAGAAAATTCTGAAGTTAAATTAGTTGGTAGAAAATAGACATCTGGGGTTCTCAACACAAAAAAAAAATAAATAGTTTAAATAAATAAATAACAATATAAACTCATCCTGCATGATTAAGAGGCCAAAAAGTGAACAGTAGTTGAGGGGCACCCAAATGGAAATTCAAGTGAACTACAAACTGAAGTATCTTACCTCAGACAATCTCCAAGCCTGGCCACTTAAGATACCTGTGAACATATACTGATGCTTTTCTCACTAGCAAAGTAAGTGCTTGTTTCTCCACACCTGCAGAACTTCTACAAAGATGCTGAGACACTAAGTTTAGTCACCCTGTATTCGGGGACATGGACATCTCTGTAATTAAGTGTATAAAACCCCAGAATTTCATAAGGTATTTGGAACACACCCCACTTGCCCAAAAAGTAACACAAGGAACAGCATTCACAGCTACCTCTTTTGAGAAATTGCTTGTGAAAGCCACGTATTTAACAGCAGCGCCAGACTTCTGCGAAACATTTCAGACAACTGCCCAGAAGTCTGGAAACCTGCTTCCCCACTTGGCACCAGAGGCTCATACCTTACCACATCCCAGAATACTTCCACACCCAGTGGAAGAGGCAAAACTGGGATGCTGCAAGACTTCTCTGATGAACTGGTAAACTGTGTAGAAGCTAAGCAAGACTCAGATCCAGAGAATTAAAATCAAATTCTAAGTTATGTAAGAGGAAGTAACAGTAATAACAGCAGAGGCCAAAACTAGCTCTCTTCATTCCCTCAGCTAAAGGCCTTCAGGAAAATTTGAATGAGGAAGAAGATTGACCAGATCTCAGACATAACTTTAAATGTTTCAAAGTTCGTAATTTTATTTAACCTTAATTTAAAAACAGCTACTTAAAATTACTTTCATTTCCTCATTGAATATATGAGGTCAAGGGTGAAGACTGGGAGAAGATAGAAAAAGTTCTGTTTGACAGCAGCTTCTTCCTATTAGTTGCCTGCCTTCTTTCTTGCTTAAGTGAACCACATTCTGCCCTTTTAATAGCTTCCTCAGCTCTTCAAGCTGAGGAACTTAAGGTGGAACTTTATGACTTAATTACTATCTTCCAACATAAAGGATCTGTAGAACACAAGACAACAGCTCTGAAAAGAACTCCAGAATCATGCAGAACTAAACGAACACAAATTTCACTGCAACAGTTTCACTGGCAGAATTAATGAAATTCTTTGACGCATGAATTGTAACATCCCTTCTTTTCATAATTTTTTTAAGTGCCATCTACATTACCAGGAGACCAATGCTGCACTGCTGTGTTTTCTTCTGGCATCCATGCTTTCGGAAAACTAACAGAAATTTCAGAATATTCAACAAGAATATAGAAGAAACACTGTAAGACTGAAAAGCAGACAGCACAGCTAAGTCCCATACTAAATTAATCCAGAGAAGTTCAGAATTCACAACCTGTAGGAGTGACTCCTCCCTTCAGAAAGAACTCTTACCTAGAAAAGAAATGTTACAGAACAAATCATACACAAAGTTAAGTAGGGATAGCAACTCCATACCTTTGAATAGAGAAAAAAACCCCACTCCATCGTACAAAAAAAAAAATCGGGAAAAAAGCAACTTGGCAAAGAATGTCAAGTGTTCCATTACACAAAGCCTCTCAATTTAACTACTGCCTTAAGCTATTTCAACCAACACATCTTGGGTCTGAAACAGTCATAATTATTCCTTTGACCTTGGCTAGAAAAAAGAAACCCACTTTAATTGGCTGTTCATGCCCAATATGTTAACCTAAGCACTATGGCCATTCAGGTATGTGCCTCC